TACAGCACTCGAAATTATATAAATAATAAAACCAGCAATAAATAATAGAATACAATACATCAATGGGGAAGACAGCAAAACTGTCCTTGAAGTTAACATTCCAGTACCCAATATGATGTTTGAACATAAATACGAAGACTATACTAAACGCAACCAATATCATTAGTACAGCTCCAATCCATAACTACAAACATAGCTGTGCGCGCTACCTCTTCAATGGAGCGCCGCTATCGCTACAGCAAGAAAAATACAGTGGTACTACTATTGTCGCTACATATTTATAAACTAGCTGGAGTGACCGTCCCCTGGACGGAAGTTATGTAAATTAATGATTGATGAAAGGTTATCTTACGACGTGAAAAGTGGCTTCTCTTATATGTGCCCCCAGTGGCACAGCTGTATGGTTGCGGACTTCCAACGCTAGAAACCGGTTTTCGATACCTGTGGTGGGCAGAGCACAGACAGCCCATTGTGTACCTTTGTGCTTAACTTCAAGACAAACAAACATCGTTAAGTACAAACAAACAAAGCGTCTGCTATTACTCATTTGCTTGAAAATATTGCAGTTCCTTTGAAAAAAATCCCTCTGTGGGACAGCGGTAAGTCTTCGAATTTACAATTTACGATTCCTCTCGGTGGACACAGTAGATAGCCCTATGTGACTTTGCTATAACAAAACACACACACACACCCTTATATAGTAAAAAACGCCCATAAGACCACAAAATGCAAAGCTGAAAATTTTTATGTACCCCAGCATGGACCTAATCAACTTCCATACCAATTTTGGTGAAGATCCATAAACACCCTGCAAAGTAGTTACCTGGACATACAATAGACAGTACTATTGAACTGATATAGATATAGCGGCGGTATCGCCACCGCTACTTTTGAAACTTTTCATGATATATTTCTTTTTTTTTTGGCAATAGATAATGTAAGCATAAAGGACACAAATTTATTGGTACTTGATAATACTTATTACTACAATAACATAATACTGACTTCTCAGAACAGCCTTTCTATACTTGTGAATGATGTCAGGAAAGCAGCTAACAACCATCAGCCTTCGATACATTCAATGATGATACTTAAAGAACACACTGTAAAAAATAAATATAATGACAGTAATATTAATAATAATATTAAATGAGCTTATAAGCTAATATCTTCTTATATTACGTCACTATTTATTTGTTCAGTTTTATTATTGTTTTAATTTGTCATTTAATTTCTGTAGCATCAGCTTCTTGAAATTATTATCCATCAATCCACCATTTTTTGCATTCAATATGTCTTTTCCTGTACAGCAATACAGCTGCACTCAATGGATCAATTTGTTTGATTGTTTTGAATTTTGCGCAAAGCTACATGAGGGCTATCTCTAATTTAGCAGTGAAAGACTAGAGGGAAGACAGCTTGTCATCACTATCTACCTTCCACTCTTGGGATACTCTTTTACCAACGAATAGTGGGATTGACCGTCACATTATAAGACTCTCAAGGCTGAAATGGCGAACATGTTTGGTGGGACGGGGATTCGAACCCTCGCCCTTCAGATTGCGAGTCGATCACCATAGCCAGGCCCACAAGGCCTACCCAACTGCACCACAAGATGTTCTCAAGCTGTTGCTAAAAGATCGGTTTGTAGACACCTTGGACAGTCCACAACTAAAGATACAAGTGAAGCAAGCACAGCCCTCTAATATGCGGGATGCAATGGCCAGAGCTCTTGAATTCAAATACTACGTTAAGTCCAACACTGAGGTACTAAGGTTGGTACAGTCATCAGGATTCAAGGCCAAAAAAGGGCAGCTTTCAGATAAGTTTGAGGGACTTTGCTTGTACTGTAACAAACCAGGGCACAAGTGAGCTCAATGCCGACAACTTCAACACAGGAAAGATGCCACGACAGGAAAGGCTGCTTACCCAGACAGATTGATGGAACTTTCGATAGTAAGGACATATGAAGAGCCAGTGTAAGAAGAATACTACCAATAAGTCAGCTTCGAGAAAGCAGTAGTGGTTGGTGTTGAGGGACGCCCACCAACCCCCTACTGAGAAAGTTCCAACAGCTAAGTGTAAATGGCAAGCACACTGTGACAGGAAAGTTGGATGGCCAAAAGTGCAACTTTGTAATAGATTCTGCATCTCAGTAAACCCTTTTGAGTATCAAGGTGCTAGATCACAAAGGAGCACCAGAAGCCATACAGAAGCTCTGTGGCGTGACAGGACATTATGCAAGGTTGTGGGGACCAGTGTGGGTAAGTATTGAGCTCATGGGCATGAAGAACACACACACAAAGTATACTTGGCCGACATTGCAGACTCAGGCATATTAGAGTTGGACTACTTATTACCATGGAAGAGTGTAGTTAACTTTGATAAAATGACGTTTTGGAACAACAAAGGACAAATTCCGTCAAGTGTTGCTGCATCTGTTGATTTGCATGTCACAGCACTTAAGTCAACTACAATACTCCCTATGTCAGAGAAAATAATTTTGAGTAGAATAAAAGAACATTCCCAAGGAAGCCCGATGATTGTGGAAGCAGTGGAAGATCTATCCAGGCCAGCAGACGTGAAGATTGGAAGTTCACTTGTGGCAGGTTATCAAATAGTACCCATAACAGTGGCTAATTTCTCTAAGTGAGCAGACACTTAAGGAAGGGGCATTGTTGGTTATGTGCCAGGAGGTAGAGCTAGTCAATGTTAAGGCCACAAATACAACCATAAAGAAAGGACGTCATCTTCCAGAACATTTAACTGACCTCTATAAGAAGAGCATAGTCCATTTGACACCATCACAGTCTTTTGGCGAATTATGCAGACGTCTTTTCAAAAGGAGATCATGACCTTAACTACACAGATCTTGTGGAGCACAGAATAAACACAGGCAATCACCGTTCAATAAAGATCCTTCCGAGAAGAATAGCCCTGCCAAAGCGACAAGAGATGGAGAAGGTCATGGATGGCCTAACTAAGGAAGGGATAGACGAGAAATCAAATAGTCCCTAGTCCACTTCCATCGTGTTATTCCAGAAGAAGGATGGGACCCAACGTTGCTGTGTGGACTTCAGGGCTCTTAAGAGTATAACCGAAAAAGGCTCATACTCACTGCCAATAATTTATGATACTCTT